ACCGGACATAAAACACAAGAAGAATCGAAGGTGACTTTGCAAAGATGGCGACTTGTACCCCTGGAAGGATGGAGTCACCGTGAACTGGGCTGGGGAGGAGCCTGGGATGCGTAGGAATGAGGGAAGGACCGGGAATGTGTTCTGCGCATGCAATGTTTAGGAAGTCTGGTGAGAGGCTGGAGGTCAAGGGAGAGGCCCGCCGCGAGGCAGAAGTGTGGAGTCACAGTGTGTGATGGGGCCTTCGATGATGTTCTGGCAGAAAAGGCCAGGGAGCGGGTGTGGGGAGAGGGAGGGGCCTCCGAGGAGCGGAGGAGCAGGGCCGTGGGGTGGGGCTGGAAGGCGGAGTGAAGCTTCTGGAAGCTTCTGGAAGGCCCCTGTCAGAGGCGGCTTCAACCCCGCTCCTTCCTTCTCAGGGGAACCGCTTCTGTTCAGGGCAGAGTGAGCGCCTCAGGGCCTAGGAATAGAGCGGCCTTTGGGGAGGTGTCTAGGGATGGACAGCCAGACCCCATGTCACAGCAGGCCCTTGGCATAGTCTATCTGGAGTTGTGTGTAGTTTTCCTAGAAAAATGGTCCTTAACTCCTCCCAGCTAATTTATTCATTCATTTCCTCACTTATAACAACCCCTTCCTTAGTGAGGGTCCCTGAGAGAACAGACCATGCTTTAGACATTAATTACATACAATTCTTTACATTTCTTTGTTTGTTTTTTGAGACAGGGTCTCACTATGCAGTTGAGACTGACCTGGAACTCACTATGTAGCCCAGGCTGGTCTCGAATTCACAGCGATCCTCCTGCCTCAGCCTCCCAAGCGCTGGGATTACAGATGTGTACCACCATGCCTGGAAATACAATTCTTACTGTATTCATGCTTCTAGTCCCATTTTAGAGGTGGGAAGTTTGAGATAAAATAACTCTTCCCAGTTTGCACAGGTAGAAATTTAAAACCAGTTTTCTTTTACTCTGAAGCCCATAATCTTTGCCTTTGCCATGATTTCTCCTCTTGCCTTTTACTCACTCAACCAATATTTGTGGAAGGTGTGACATGTACCAGCCACACACCAAGTGTTGGCCCGATCAGGATGGCTGCACAGGCTTCGTATTTGCCCTGACATTACCCATTTCCAACTTGGATAGCAGAGCTTATATCCTCCAGGTCCCAAACCAGCTCTTTGCTAGTATCTTCTCTGCCTCCTCCATCTGGGTCCCTCATTTAGAAGCCTAATAAATATTTTCTCATGTGTTCTTGTAGGACACATTTTTGAGGGAGTGAGCCATTTTGGGTTGAGCCTTGTACATGAGGCATTATGGAAACCAAGGCACCAGGGAGGGTTGGACTTGCCCGTGTGTGGGAGTTTGAGTCCCAAACACTTTGGTATTTTGTGCTTGTTGTTGCCAAAAACAATTTAAGAGGAGGCTGGGGAAGAAGGGTAGATGGGAACAAGGCCAGGTGTGCCGTGCTGGATTCCAGTGACTCAAGTTGGCACTGGTGTGATTTTGAATTAACACACACAGAGCTGGGTGCCAGAGGAAAGGGGCCTCTCTGCTGAGAGTCAGTTTATAAGGGAAGAGACTGTTCCACTTCTGAGGGGCAGTGGGATACAGACATATTAGCCTGTGGCACCTCTTCCCTAACAAAGCACTGCCCATCGCAAGCAGCCAAGGTGACTCAATTTAAAGAACACACACACACACACACACACACACACACACACACACACACATCACATCACATCACATCACAAAGGAGGCTCTTCTACTATATATCCAGAAAGTTCTCATCCAGAAAATATGTAGTAACAAATTAGATAGAAGTCAATATGAAGCCTATGGTGTCTTTATTTTTTTCTTTTTTTTTAAACCATGATCTTGAAACATTCCTTCAGCATGTGATTATGGTGAACATTTGGAAAAAAAAATGGAAATGTTAGTTTCTAGAACTTTCTGGAAGGATCTGGAAGTGGATGCACACACATGTAGAAGGAACTAACGGAATCTGCTCACCATCAGATTTGGCTCATGTTTGAAGACTGTAAATGTCACTCTTCTCTCATCACACAAAGAACATTATTGAGGTTTAGAGTTAGAAAGAACATGTGACCTCCAGATTGAAGATTCTCTTTGTAGGCTCTGCCACTTAATCCTGGCAAGCTCTTCAGCTTTCCTAAGCTTCAGTTCCCTTATCTAGGACACGGGGATTAGGATCTGTATCAGATAGGGTTATTGAGCTTAAGTATGGGGACAAGAACAATATCATCATTGCCTTGTAGGTGAGCAATAATGGCCACTTAGTGTACTATTAAGAAAATCAATCCATGACAAAAAGAAAAATGCTCCCTCAGTTAAAGAGTTTTTATCAGAAATTTTGTCTTTCCTCCACAATCCAGTCTTACACTGCAGACTTCTAATTGTCTCTCAACTTGAACACCTGTCACATATGTGGCAGGGCACCCAAAGTGCCCTAGAAACAGACCAGTGCAAGTCTTCCAACAGCCTGTAAGCTGAGCTTCATCATCCCATAGCCATGTGAGTGCATTTGTGCTGAGAGGGTTAAGTAACTGGCCACCACCTGGCTACTGATCTGCAGGGACCAAGCTACAGCCTGGGTCCATGTGACCCCAGCGCATTGAAGGGCAAAACCAGATACCTCATGGGGTGGAAGATCTTAGAAAGCTTTGGGCCTGGTGGGTTTTCCAATGTTTACACCAACCCAGACTAGACCAGAGTTTTTATTTAGTGATCCTGGAAAGAGTTGAGAGTTTTGTTTTGTTTTTTTCCTATCTTAGGACTCTATTGTGTTGAGTTACTGGCTGAGTAGGGAGGTGACAGAGCTGAGGACCTGTGTACCTCTTAAGGGACTATTTCTTTCTCTCTCCGTGGCTATAGGAAGCATGTCGGTCAGCTTTCTGTCACTGTACCACCTACCTGAGATGAAGAATTTAATAAGGGGAAAGGATTATTTGGCTCAGGAGTTGGAAGGTTTCGGTCGATGTCATTGGGCCATTGTATGAGCCTGTGACAGCACAGTACCGAGAACGTCTTCTCCATACCCCCCTCAGGGCCACGCCCCTGGTGACCTCACTGCCTACCGCCTCTTAAAGGTTCTGCTCCCTCCCAGTAGCATCCAGGCTGAAGACCCAGCCTTCACTACCTGGGCCTTTAGCAGACTTTGCTGATCTGAACTGCAGCAGGCTTGGTTCTCCTGAAGTCAATGATGACATTCTCAGGTCAGGCCCAGGACCCCATCCTACCAAGACACCAAAATCTTTGACATACTCCAAAATGTCAAGCACCTCCCAGTCATTAGAATGTGTCCTAGAGATAGTGTTGTCTTTGCTATTTCCTGCCTCTGGAGGAACCTGGCAAAAAGTAGAAGCTGACAGTTGTGAATAAAGACACTAACTATGATATTAGAACAGTTGCTTGATTTTAAATATTTTTTCCAGTGAGAGACATCTGACATAACTCCTCCATGTAGGTCTGGGCTTAAAATCCACCTAGGGGCAGAGGCCTCCTCTGACAAACCATCTGAATCTCTTTGCCATCTTCTCCTCCTATCTGTTTCTTCTCTAATTTTGCACAGTTAGCTTTACCCTCCTTTTCCCCACCACTAAGACACCAGAACACCGCTGGGCAGGAGTCTCTCACTGTCAGTCACAAGGAATGAATGAGTAATGACCAAGATGTCCTTTGGAATCAACCCATCCATGGAAGAATGCAAAATCCCCGGGTAGAGATTAGCACAGTGCCTGGCACATGGTAAGCAGGAGATAATTATGAGTTTGCTAAGTTGGTGATGATACCCACAGGCTGCGGTGAACTATTGTATTGGGGTTCACCTCTGACCGCCCTCTGTGCCCTCCTGTGGTAAGGAAAGTAAAAGGCCGCCCTGTCACCCCACCTGCCATTCCTCTCCATGCCCACAAGGGACGCTAAAGAACAAGGCTGCCGCCAACCCTGGCTCTTCATACTTACTCTGGGGAACTGTTCATCCTCTTTCCTTAACTCTTAAATTAAAACAACTTCAAATCCTTCCTCCTAGTGCGTAAATGGCTGGAGCAGTCTCACCCATACGTCCAGCTCAGCCCAGCCACAGGACTGCTCTGTTTCTGGAGCCTACATCTTTTTGCTGTTCAATACCTGACAGGTCTCTACTCTGCCCCATTCTGTTTCTAACGAGGTTCTCCCAGAATCCAGCTCCAGTGTCTCCTCCTGTGGGGAGATCAACCCCAGATCTCTACCTCTTTCCGCTCAGCTTCCGTCATGTCCCTCATCACAGGGACAGTGCTGACCAGACAGTGGCAGGGCTCCTGCACATGGAAGGTGGGTACAGGCAGCTCTGATGAGCATTCAGGCCTGGGCCCTCTGCTGCCAGAGGACCTGGGGTCCCGTTCTGCCTCCCCTTTTATCACCTTGACAGCTTACAAAATCTCACAGTCAAGAAGGCATGGAACCTGAAAATAAGGATGCAAATGAAGACGTTCTCATAAGCATCAGATACCACAGACCCAAGGACAAAAGTGTAAGGGGAATCTGGAATAGGTCACACAGGAGGTGACTCGGGGCCATTGGAATTGAAAGTCACCCGTAGACATTTCACCCATCAATACATGGAGGTGGGTTTGTGAGGAGCCAGGAGTTCTTTTGGAATCAAAGTTAGAGAAAGCAAACCATGGCTGAACATATTTCAGAGAATGCCTTGAGCTTTATTATCCTTGTGAATGCAACAGAAATCGCCTTGTACCAAAATTGCCAAGCTGGCTTTTCAGCTGGAGGGCAGGTCTCCACCGCTCCTGAGCCCAGAGCATCATGGGCCATGGAAACACACTGAGCCGACAGTCTCTGAAAATCACACCTAAAGCAAATTCTAAACCAAACACAAAAATTATAAAATCTGTTTAAATATTTAACTGCACACCCACACACAAAGTCCCTTCTCCTGGGAACCTGCAGAGCTTCCACTGGAGGGGCAGAGGACATGGCGTCACTTTAGAGGCCTCCCTAGCAGGAGCTGCCCTGAAATATGTTGAGGAGGAACGTGCAGAGGGAGGTCCAGGACTCCCCGCAGAAGTCCAGCGCCGTCTTCCTCTGCATTTCCATGTCTGGGTCATCCAGACACTTGGGGTCTCGGGTGGTCACAGCCTTGCTCACTGCTGGGGTGGAGGAGATGTCTTCTTTGGTCTTGTGTGACTCCTTGGAGGGAGTCCCCTTGACGATGGGGTGCTCCACGGGGGACAGCTTTGGCGCCCCCTCCCTGGGCCCCATGCTCTCAAGCACAGTGGAGCTTAGCAATCTGAGATTCGATTCTGGGAAGTTCTTTTTGCACACTTTGGCCTTCAGGACATTCTTTGAGTCCCCACAGATGTTCTTCTGTTTGCGCAGTGTCCGGGCAATCTGTTTCCAGTAGACCTTCTGGCTGTGGCGCTGCAGGCACTCGGTGGGGTTGCCGTCAAAGACGCAGGAAAACTTGTGCTGTGCTTGAGTGCACTCCACCCTCAGGGCAGTTCCCAGCCGCTGCTCTGTCATGGCCCACGTGCAGCTGGCTCCTTGGTCTTTGCTGACAAAATTGCCTCTGGTTGTGGACTTGGAGGTTCGGCTTCGCTGCTTGTCCTGGGCCTGGTCCAGGGGAACCGATGAGTCCCCATCCGTTACGCTGCTCTGTCTGTGCTGTGCTCCATTTTTGACCTTCTGCGTGAGCATCTCAGTGGCCAGGAGGAGGAGTGAGAGCAAGGTGAGGTTGTGGACCCTCATGGCTTCAGCCGGGCAGGCACCTGTGGGACCAGAGGAAGGGGCGTCAGTGCCGGGCTGGGCAGGGCTGGGGGTTGACCCCCTGCCACCCTGCCACGCGCTCCCTGCTTCAGGAGGCGACCGGCAATCTGCCTGGCTCCTGGCACCGCTAAGTGAGTGTTCCCACTCCCGCTTGACCTGAGTCTTGAGCGTCAGGAAACTACCCTTCTCCATCTTTGCCTGCACCTCTGTCTGAGCCCCGGGAGCTCTTCCCTTCAGTCGAGCCTGCATCTGCTCAGTCATTCACCTTGTGAGAGGCACCAATTGCGCACTGCCACCCCCATGCGCTGCGCCAGCTTCCAACACGTGTGCAGAATGGGGGACCTCGGGCCCCAAAGCGCTCACAGGCTCCGCTGTGACAGACTCACAGAGCACCGGACACAGACTCGGCCTCATCTCTGTGCCCAGCTTGATCTCGGACAAGCTTCCCTCCCCTCCAGGTCTTAGGCCCTTCACCTGGACATCAGGGTGACAAGCAAAGTTGCCACAAGCTTAAGTATCACGTGGTTGCTCTTATCTGAGAACCCAAAGTGTAAAGAAATTAAAGAGCAAAATAAAAGACAGATGATAGGAAACAGGGAGCTGGATCTTTTGCAAATAGGAAGGGGACTAAGAGGTGAAGGGAGGGGGAGAGAAGGGAGGGGAAAGGAACACTAAAAAATGAAGATGCGTCGTGTAGATCTGCCAGCTCCTCACAAGGACTGCAGTCGTTACGTACTGCAAGCATGTGCTCATCAACACAGAGATTAAACAAATGAGCGAAACAAGCACCAAACCCTCTTCTAGCTCCAGTGCACTGGACTCCTACCTCGCAGCCTGTGCAGACACAGATGCCCCAGGAACGAGGAACAACGTGGAGTCAGGGCAAAGCCACCAAAAGTGTGGACTCAGAGGTCACACACGGGTGGGGCTGGACACCCTGAGCTGGGTGGTGCTGTGGAGGAGAAGAGGGTTTCAGGAGAAAGCAGCCCCAGGAAGGCATGCTGTGGGGAGGCCATCTGACTGCACTAGGCAAAGCAACCGGGGTGGAGAGGGCTGAGTTCCCACCGGGTGGTTAAGACCTCAGGGCTCAGGACAGGGATCATGGCTAATCGACTTCTAGAGCTCTGTAGTGACACAGACCTGAATATACAGACAGCCCTTAATCAATGCTTTCTGAAAAGAAAGTATTGAATGAAAAGGGTGAGCTTCAGTGTCACACTAACCTGCATGGATTTACACACACACACACACACACACACACACACACACACACACACACACAACTTCAGGGGCAAAGAGAAGCCCGAGTCTTTTTGACATCTTCTGTGTGCTCAGCGCTGCTCTGGTACTTGATTCTCACTCTGTCAAGTCCAGCTAGGAGCCCTGCCACATGGCTACTGTGACACCCCCAGGCGACTGCAGTGACAGGTAAGGCACATGTGGAAAGGTCAGTTATTCTGGAGCCCTTAAGTGGGCAGTTTCAGAGCTGGGGCAGGTAGCAGAGCCCATCTCTCATCCCTATTACCTCTTGCTTTGTTCCTGATGTTCAGAAAACACCGGTGGGGCATAGGACACCATACGAGACAACTCACACCATCCACACTCTTAGTTTCACATGGGATTTTGTTTGAAAAGGGAACAGGTCTTGGAAATGGCTGTGATCTCATTTACACCTGGGAGTTTGTCGGACCCTGGAACTGGGAAGGCAGAAGGAACCAGGGGAGAGGAGGTGAAAGCAATGAAGGGTGGGAAAGGATCGAGGCAGGCAGGTGGAGATGCAACCGTTCCACAGGGTGCAGGGGCTCAGCCTCTGCCTGCCCCTGATGGAACCCCAGGGCCTCACGCCACGTAGGAAAGTCCTAAGTGAGCAAAGCTCTTACCTTGCTGTGTGTGTGCAGACCCAGCTCCGTCCCAGATGTGAGAGTGAGTGGCCGGTTTCCTGCTGTCTCCACTAATGCAGCGCAGGGCAGGTTCGGCTACTTATAGGAGTCCAGGCCAACAGCCACGCCCCTCACAGGGAGCCAGTTCCTACATGGAAAATGCTGGGTGGAGTCCGGGGAGCAGGGGGTGCGCGGCTGGGGGCCCTGAGACCTGCTACTTGCAAGCCCTTGCAGCGGTCAGGACAGGAGGCCAGCTCAGCCTCAGCAGGACCCTCCCGATGCCACTCCCAAGCAGTGGTGGAGGGAACAAAATTACAGTAAGTACAGGATTCCTGCCTGTTGCCTACGCCCACACCCCTGCCTGCCTCACCTCCTGCGTGAGATGGTGTGCAGCGGGCCTGCCTGCCTGCTGTGCACAAGGACAGGGTGGGCCTGGGTGCTGCAAAGGCCTGTTCACGTTCACAGAGCTGGTGAGAGGAGAATCCCAACTGACAGGCAGGGCTCCCGGCAGCCACGTCTGATCTGAGTAAGTGTCTGGAGAGTGAGTGGCTGACCGGAGCTTCGGAGCGTTTTCACCGTGCGGGCTGAAGTCACTGTGTGGGTAGAGGGTTCCACAGACCCTGAGAATTCTGGTAAAGAGGAAATTCCCAACGTGGAGATTTCTATTCGAAAAACTCACCTTCAGGTTAGGCATGGGGGGCTCATCCTGGTCAGCCCACTAAAGCAGAGCCCCCTATCGGAATGAGCTTTGTGACGTGGTCCAAACTGCCAACCCCGTGGACCGCCATCCACCCCCTGCACTGTGTGGGTGGCAACGGTGCCTCAGATAAGGCTGCAGACTGAATTCCTGTATTGGAAATGAGCTGTTAACACCAAGCCAAGCAGGACAGTTCTGGCCCTTAACGAGAGCTTCAGGTGTTTTCTTTGAAAATAGACACTTGTATGAGTGCATATTAGATGTTTCAAGAACGTTCCTTGTTTCTGTGAGGAATTTGGTATTTTTTCTTACCAGAAATCAAACGCACATACCATCCTGTCTGGTCACTGGTGGGGATTCCAGTTCAAAGCTAATATCGCTACCAGGTGCGTTCCTCTACAATAGCTGCGTGACCGAGAGGGCTGGCCTGTGGGTGCGATAGGATATGATATGACATCATGAGGTAGGGCGTGAGATGAATGGGTGTTTGGGTTCTCTGGGGAGCCCTTAAGTACAATATCATCAGATCAAGTTTGCAAAAAATCAGTGCCTTCTTCAAAAGTAATCTCAGGATCACAAGTTTTAAAAATGCCGACTTGCTTTGTTAAAGCAATACCCATTTCTTGCTTCAAAACTAAAAACTACCCATTTCCAGAGAAAAAAACGGGAAACTGGCTAAACAAGCATGAAAACAATCTAACTAGTCCAGCCAGAAATATTTGTCTTCTGAAGAGAATTTGCACTCCAACTTTAAAGAGCTCCTTAGTCATAAGATTTCAGAATTCTCATTCAGCAGATCACATGACACACAGTGAGAAAGTTCTATTTCTTTTGAAAACTAAGAGACTGTAAAAAGTATTGATGTCGCCAGGGATTTAGCTCAGTGGCACCGCATTTGCATTGAAAGTGCAACATCCTGAGTTCGATCCCCGGTACCGGAAAAAAATGTTGATGTTTTAGCTTTGGGTATGAAAGCCACTGAAAATCTATTAAAACTTATTGACTTCAGTAAGAACACCCTTTCCAAAACACATGATATTAACTCATTTTGTTAGGCACGTTGTTCAATAATTCATTTTGATTCTGGGTCCTCTTAAAAATCACTTCTAGTTACCTACATGTTAGGTCAGTCCAATGAATTGCCGTTTTGAGCAGATTAAAAGTACTAGTGAGTCGGGTGTGGTGGCGCACACCTGTAATCCTAATCCCAATAGTTGGGAGGCTGAGGCAGGAGGGTCACTGTCAGCTCGAGACCAGCCTGGGCTACATAGTGAGTTCCAGGTCAGTCTCAACTATATAGTGAGACTCTGTTACCTACATGTTAGGTCAGTCCAATGAATTGCCGTTTTGAGCAGATTAAAAGTACTAGTGAGTCGGGTGTGGTGGCGCACACCTGTAATCCTAATCCCAATAGTTGGGAGGCTGAGGCAGGAGGGTCACTGTCAGCTCGAGACCAGCCTGGGCTACATAGTGAGTTCCAGGTCAGTCTCAACTATATAGTGAGACTCTGTCTCAAAAAAAAAAAAAAAAAAAAAAAAAAAAAAAAAAAAAAAAAAAAACAAAAAAAAAAAAAAAAGGTACTGAGGATTGAACTCAGGAGCTTGAGCTTGCGAGGCAGGCGGCAGAATCACTGAGCTAAATCCTCAGCCGCTGGGGATTTAGCTCAGTGGTTCCACCGCCTGCCTTGCAAGCACAAAGACCTGTGTTCGATCCCCAGTACCAAACAAAACAAAACAAAACAAAAAAACCAACACTAAATCCCCAGCCCTGCCCTTCCTCTTGTTTAAACTGAGCGTCACCATGTGTGTGGGTATTGGACCACACACGGTGCTCCCTTCACACAGACGGGCATGAAGTTTGGAAGAAAGCCCCAGGCAACATATCCGGAAGGGCCTCTAGGGGCACCAGGCAGAAGGGTGTCCACCCACGAGGTGCGAAAGGAAGGGTCCCGTGTGCTGTTCAGGAGCACACAGGAAGGAGCCGCGCAGTCAGACTGAGATGGGCTCTGGAAGGACAGGGCTTCGTCAGGCCTCCTCATCCCACCCCACCATCACTGCTCTGTTCACTCATCCCTTCATCCAAAGAGCCCTCACAGAGCGCCTACCACGTCCGGGCCCTCCTCAGTTACTGGCCGGTTGGAAATGCAGTTGAGAATTCCACAGTCCGTGCACAAGGAAACAGGAGGCAGTGAGGGGAACGACATCGGTGACACAGGGCTAACTGGCACGTCTGAGGGCAGCGCCGGAGCGCTGGGCGAGGACTAACCTAGCCAGAGTCAGAGATGAATCCCCCAACAGCCAGCGGTTGTGCGGAAAGCTCAGCACTGGGGAGGGGGTGCCGCCCAGTCGTCCCAGTCACCACCTGGGATCCAGGACTGGCACGTCCTCGCTGAGGGGACGCTCACTGCAGGTGATGTGGGACAGCACTGCCCGTGCTTGATGGCCTCCCCGCAGGGGATGAACTGTAAACCAAGGAAAGCACTCAAACCAGGAGAATAAGACATCAACGGGATGGCGTGCCGCTGACGTACCAAGTTCCTGTATCTGGCGAAGACTTTGAACAAATGGGTCCTCTATCCAAGGAGCAGCTGCCTGGCTGGTGGAACACTGTATAGATCCTGGGAGAGTGTGGACCCTCCACGGGTCCTCTTGCCCTGATGGGATGGGCCAAGACGGAAAATGCAATGGCAGCTTAAGGTTTAGTGGAAACAGGAACTCTTCAAGTTGTTTATCTGAGTGGAATTTTAAAAGGAGCTGTTTGAGGAAAACCATTATGCTTCCTCACTAACCCCATGATCAGAGATGTGAAAGCTCTGTTGAATGACTGTTCCTCCGGCCACTGAATATTGTGTTCTGAGAGGTGAGATGCACGACTCAGTTCTTATCAGTAAAGCCCGGAATCAGCAAGGAGTACGGAGTGCCCTGGCATGGCCTGTGTTGGGGCCTTAGTATAGGCAGAGACACGCGTGATTTTGATTCATACTCTGGGTATCTCTGAGGCAAGACAGTCTCAGAGTTTTTCTTCCCCCTGAAGGGGATCATTTTCAGGCAGTGGCCCAACAACTTATAATAAATGTCAAGATAGAGCCACCTCTTGGCCAGGCTACCCAGTACTAAGAGGAACCCCTGAAGTGTGGCCAGGTGCGTTGTTTCTTGGGTTCCACTCTTTATCAAAGACAGCTGGCTGAGGGCCGAAATGCAGCAACGCTGTGCCAGGCTCTGCCATCTATGATGCTGAGCGGTGCCGCTTGCACAGCCTAGGAGGCCCACTGGTGTTTCATCAGTCCATTCTAGGGCTCCCCTGTAGACAGTGGGCCTAGGAGTAGAGATAACTTCCCCCATCATCACAACAGCTGGCAAGAGATGGGGAACAGGGGAAGCCAAAGCCTCCTGCAGAAGGGAATGCCAGAGGGCTCGAACCGGGCTCCACCCTCTCTTGAGAAACCCTCAGTAGCTGTGTTGAGCTTGTGGGGTGCTGCTTCTTTAGCCCAAAGCATAAGGGGCTGGGAAGGGAGAATTACAGGCTCTGGTCTGAGTCTGTTTTCAGCCCCGTAGGTAGCCAGTAGGTGTTGTTTATAATGCTGTTTGTTTAGCATGAGGCAGTTTCTTGGCCTACTTACAGCTGCCATGAGTGCTGTAGAGACTCAGAGTAAACTGCAGAGACTGGAGAGAAGCAGACAAAGCAGTGAAGGGATCGCTACAAGCACTCCTGGGAGTGTTTGTTATCTTTACTTCGGAAGTAGAATTTGTCGGTGAGGAATCTGTGGCCGTCAGAACCCTCCAAACACAGTAGGTGTTAGACTTGTGTCTCACTCCGGGACATAACACCGGACACATGGAACTTAAAGGAGGAGGGGTAGATTTTGGCTCGTGTTTCAGAAGCTTTAGTTCTTACATGATTGAGAGCCTGCTGGAAGGACCCGGGAGAAAAGCTGTTCCCATCATGGTGGCCCCAAGCCTAGAGAAGGGAGGTGCTGGGTGGGAGGTAAATCTTTCCGGGTCACGCTCCCAGGGGCCCGCCTCTTGCCCCCAGGCTCCACCTCCCACAGCCGGTTCAGCTAAAGTGGCCCCAGGATTCAGTCACCCTGCGGGCAGAAGCCTCACCTCTGACCGCTCGAGGCCCTTGGTGGAACATCAGATAGGAGTCACTACAACTGTGCCCGTGGTGAGTGCACCTCTCCTGGGGGAAGGTGTCATCAGGGCAGTGTCATCCACGTGTTCCTGCAGAAAGGGGGAAACAGTTAAGATCTTGTCTTCAGTGCTTGCGTGCTGGGACAAAGCTGGCGAGGAACCCCACAGGTAGCCTGGAAGGGTATGTTGTGTCCGTTTGGAAGCAAAGGTAAACTGCTCCCGAGGTGCTATTTTAAGAGGCAGCCATGTTGGCTAAATCTTTAAGAGCAAATCACTTGTTGGTTGTTGATTGGATTGAGTCAGTAATTGTGAGGAAATGTGCAGAAGAGGAAAGGGTGGGGTCCGGTGCCTATAGGAGCAGCCTTTTCCTGTGGAGCCTCTTTAGCCTCTCTCTCTTCCCCCTCCCCCTCCCCCTTCCCCTCCCCCTCTTTCTTTCTGTTTCTCTCTCCCTCTTCTTCTCCTTCTCTTCCATCTTCTCTCTCCTCCCTCTCCTCTCTCCCTACTCTATCTTCTTCTTTCTCCCTCATTTCTCCTCTTCTCTCTGTCGCTCCCCCGCCTCTTTCTCCTGTCTCAGTTAAAATATTAGAGGCACTCAGCGTATGTGTGTGTGTCTCCTTTCTGTACTCAGTTGTTCTGTTTTCGTTTTGCTTTTATTTTTTGCCTTCGAGTGTTTACCTCATAAGCTCCTGGTGGCTCTCAG